ACCGAGTATACTGTGCCCGTTGTGAAATAAATATTGGTTCCAGACTTAAGAAATTCGCAAAATAATGCAGAAACCACTTCAACATTCATGTTAGAATTTGGATACGGAATTCGTATTAAATGAAACTTGTGCAAAAGCAGAATTAGGTGTACAGAGAAAATATTAAAATTATTCGAATGAAAGACGTTTACCTTGTAACGATAATCCGGATCATGGCAAACACAAATAGCGAGGTGTCCTAGATTATGAACATTACCGTAGAACGTACTATTGATTGACAAAGTAGTGACGGCTTCTATGATATTTCCTAATATATCGATGCCGTCCTTTTCAGTCAAACGTACATGTTTACCATTATTGTCAATTACATATCCAGAATGAATAGCATCGTATATGCGATCACGCCATCTTTCCAGATCGGTAATATCGAAATAAAAATCAGGCGGTTGATGGACTTCTTTTAGTGGGATTCCAGTTGGACGAGCTGGCCACATGCGACTAGTATTGACAGAGTCCAGGTTTGAGAAATAACCTTCGAGAATCGGTTCATGCCAATTAACAAATCGTTTCACACGATTAAGTCGATTACACAAACGTTCACAGTTATACCTGAAAGTGTGATAGATATATAATTTTTCATATCTCATAATATAATGCATTTGTTGCCAGAATTTCAAAACGGATTTATTTTGTTCATTAACTAATTTCATTCTGAAATTTAATCAATGGTCACTATACGTGCCGCGCCATGATTTGTTCATGCATATAGTAAAAGAGCTCCCCGCGGCGATCCTTGTCAACCACACTAGGGTCCCCAGCAAATGGATAAACTAAATGCCAGTGCCAATGGTGCAGGTTGACACCAATGTCTTCTCTCCAGTATGCAACTCGATGTTCTTCGTCCAAATCAGTGGCAGTGAAATCTTCACGAATTTCAATTATTTCCTACATTCAAATAAGACATTTACAATGTAAACTTTAAAATGTTCTGTCATTCGTATATTGTTTTTCTTAATGAGTAAGCTTTCTGCGATTCAT